CATATACATATACATATACATATATATATATATATAGATATATAAATGAAAATAGAAACAGAAACATAAATAGAAGTAGAAATAGAAATAGAAATAGAAATAGTAATAGTAATAGAAATAGAAATAGAAATAGAAATAGAAATAGAAATAGAAATAGAAATAGAAATAGAAATAGAAATAGAAATATATATATGTATGTATGGATATATAGTATCCTGACACACCTGTTTGGTCGCCGTCCAGTATGGCTGCTTCGATGTCCGAGACTCTTTCAGTTTCCAGTGAAGACACTTTGACAGTGCCTCCCGGCTCCGTTGGGCTCCACTCACCAGTGCCTCTTACGGTGTCAAAATCCCACGAACTGTTGCTACCGAAGGTGGCTCTTTATTTGTATGTTTGATTCATAGTAAGTTACAAGTTAACTCCGATTCGAATAGGCATCGTTTCTAACTGCATGTAATTAAGAAGGGAGATGGGGGAAAATGGAGCGTCTCTTTGTGTGCACATTTATTCTGTGAATTGAAGTACGCTAGGCAAAGGATTACATCGACTTGTCTCTATCGTATAATAAACAAGACATAAAATATCCTATCAACAAAACCTAGCCTGTCAGGTACAACGAATCTCATAGGTAGTCAAGCCATCCTATCATGTGGGGTTGTACTAACAATCAGAACTACTGCATAAGCATATCTACGGAGAGGTTATATTACAACCATCAATATCGTTCAGCGACAAAAATCGTGTACAGGTGCGGTCTAGTATCGAGGTATGCAGGTGTGGTATTTAGCATTCTAATTACATGGCTGCATGTAATGTATAGGCTGCGTAGACGAAAACGTGCCCCTTATATCTGACAACTGCAGAGAAGCGACTGTGAGTCATAGAACATGAAAGCATCTCCCGGGCTACGCACCTGGTGTCCTTCTTGACAGTTGCCTCGTCAACAGACAGCCGTCTCTGGCGCAAACTGCTGGTGATCACATCTACTAGGTACGTGTTGCGTTTCGCGGTCTTCAGGAATTTGTGTTTGAGCAGTTCTTTGGCGCTGGGTCTGTCGTTCGGTTCCGCCTGCGGTGTGTACCAGTGAGTGCGTCAGAATGTATGCTTGAGATTATCGTGACTATATTTAGATACCGATAATATGTACGAGTCATCAGGGTATGCGACAAATAAACAAGCCACGACCAACGATGTTAGTAGCTGGTCTAAAATTTAACTCAATGCCTGGGGTCTATAGCCTACCTTCCGCGTGGAGGGACAGCTCTGCCAGAGAACATACCACTACCAATCATAGGGCACAAATCAATAAGACTGCACGTAATATAATTCTATCTCATTCGTGTGTATAAGTACATCACAAAGATCAGTAGGTTAGCTGTATAGTGATAGTTCTTTCCGCTGTACCTCGGATTACATACTTGTAAACACACGGCCACAAAGTCCTTGAACAGCCGGCTGAATTGCTCACCGTCCAGCGTCGGTGGCGGATTTTTGGGGATCAGAAAAAGCACTCGCATGGGATGCAGTTCAGAATGGGGGGCCTTTCCGACCGCCAATTCTATGGCTGTGATGCCTAGCGACCAGATGTCAGCCTGTAAGTAGCAGAAGTAGTGATGTGTGGGTGGTTGGTGTGGATATGAATTGAAGCAGCTCACTGAATTTTATAGATATAAATATAAATATATGTACCTATATAT